ACAACGCCTCGTCGCACACCGCTCAGCAAACAATCGACTACTTGGCGACGTCAGACGTGGAATTACTGGGTCACCCGCCCGGATCGGTTGTCCTATAGCCCCGACCTTGCGAATTTCATTTATTTCCGAAAATAAAAGAAAACTTCGAGGAAAACGTTTTATGGACGCCGAGGAAGCAGTAGCTGTGTTTCAAAATGTCGTCGAAGAGACCCCTAAGGACGAATGGAAAAAGTGCTTTTATCAGTGGTTCCATCGGATGCATCGATGTATTGATGTAAATGGGGGTGCTGAGAATCTCCAGTGGAGGTTCGGTTGCCACGTAAGACAGCTCAACCTGGCATCATATAACGTACGCACCCTGAGGCCTGACGATAAGATCCTGGAGCTGAAAGAAGAGATAGATAAGTTGCGCTGGAATATTATAGGATTAACCGAGGTCCGAAGAGAGGGGGAGGACATGGTAATCCTCGACTCCTGTAATATGTTCTATCACCCGGAGGGCGACCGATGGCTTCTTGCAAGGATTTGTCGGATTTATCGTCCACAAGTCTCTCGTTAACAACGTTGACAAGAGAAAGATTTAGAGTATGTCAACGAGGGTTGCGTACCTTATACTCAGAATTACCAAACGGTATTCGCTAAAGGTCATACAGGTTTACCCACCAACCTCGGCATATCCCAATGAGGAGGTGGAGAAAATGTATGACGATATATCTAACACCATGTATTCCTCGAAAACCTAATATACGGTATTATAAAAGGCTTCAATGTAAATCTAGGTACAAGAGAGAATGAGAATCTCCAAACACATGCGGGGCGAATTGTGCCTCTTCAATACAGCTCGTATTGAAGAAGCGATCGAGCGGAACCAGGGCTCCAAAGTTTTTGCCAGAGATATTTGCCAGAAAAAGTCGACTGTCGAAGCTGAAGACCGAGTGTGGCAGCGTCGTTTCAGGGACACCTGAGATTTTGAGTGAGATTAAGAAATTCTATGGGCAGCTGTATACATCATCGTCGGAGCCACACACAAGTGTGAGTAACAATCCAACGGCAAGTCTTATCCGACGCTATTCCTATGATATTCCGGACGTCAGTCTGAGCGAGATTAGAATGGCCTTCCAGCACCTTAAAAACGGCAAAGCCCCAGGCAAGGATGGAATTAAAGCGGAGCTTCTGAATGCGGGTGGAAAACTGGTATTGGAAGTCCTTCAGAAGCTCTTTAATTCCGTCCTCCATGTTGGCACTAATCCGGAGGCGTAGAGCAGATGTGCGGTGGCTTCGTTATTCAAGAAAGGCGACAACGCTCTCTTGAAGAAATACAGACCGATTTTCTTTCTAAGTCGCGTCAACGTGCTGTTTTCGAGAGTCACTACGAATAGTCTCGCATGCAGAATCGACGACTTCCAGCCTCACGAACAAGCCGGTATCCGAAAAAGCCTTAGCGCCATAGACCACATACATACCCTTCGGCAAATTGTACAGAAGTCCGTGGAGTACAATTTGCCACTATGACTGGCGTATGTGGACTATGAGAAAGCCTTTGATTTCGTAGAAATTTGGTTGGTGCTGCAGTCCCTTCTGCGGTACCATGTTGACTGTCGGCATATCAAATTGCCGAAGTGTTTGTACAATAGGGCTACGATGGCTATCCGAGTACAGGACCAGAGTACGAATCCCATCCCATCATCATTGCAGGAAGGTGTAAAACAGGGTGACGTTATATCCCCGAAACTCTTCACCACTGCATTGGAAAACGTTTTCAAGCTTTTAGACTGGAAAAGATACGGCATTAACATCAACGGCGATTACATCACTCACCTTCGATTTGCCGACGATATAGTCCTTATGGCAGAATTGCAGGAGGACCTACGCACTGTACTCAATTACCTCAATAGCGCCTCTCAACGGATAGGTCTTAAGATGAAAATGGGCAAGTATAACGTCCATGTCACACCTAAGCCTTTGATTCCGTCGAAATTTGGGCGGTGCTGCAGTCCCTTCAGCGGTGCCAAGTTGACTGTCGGTATATCGAAGTGTTGAAGTGCTTGTACAGTAGGGCTACGATGGCTATCCGAGTACAGAACCAGAGTACGAAACCTATCCAATTGCAGAGAGGTGTAAGACAGGGTGACGTCATATCCCCGAAACTCTTCACCGCTGCATTGGAAGACGTTTTCAAGCTTTTGGACTGGAAAGGATACGGTATCAACATCAATGGCGAGTACATCACTCACCTTCGATTTGCCGACGATATAGTCCTTATGGCAGAATCGCTGGAGGACCTAAGCACTATGCTCAATGACCTCAATAGTGTTTCCCAACGGATAGGTCTTAAGATGACCATGGACAAAACAAAGATCATGTTTAATGTCCATGTTACACCTATGCCGGTAGTTGTTGGGAGCACTAAGCTCGAAATTGTTGACGAGTATGTTTACCTGGGACAAATAGTCCGACTAGGTAAGTTAATTTTGACCGAGAGTTCAATCGACGGATTCAACTCGGTTGGGTAGCGTTTGGGAAATTACGGCCCATCTTCTCGTCAGGTATACCTAAAAACTTAAAAATGAGACTGTACAATCAGTGCGTTTTGTCAGTGATGACCTATGGAACTTAGACGTGGTCCTTCACTGCTGGCCAGTTGAGAAAGCTCTTGAGCTCATATTCGCAGTAGAACCAGAGTGACTGACATAGCTCAACGGATTAGTAAGCTAAAGTGGCAATGGGCCGGCCATATAGTTCGAAGAACCGACAACCGATGGGGAAAAAAGTGTGTAGGGCGTCCGCCCATTAGATGGAGTGACGACCTGGTAAGACATGCAGGAAGTCGATGGATGCAGGTGGCTCAGGACTGTACTTTGTGATATTCTTTGGGGGAGGCCTATGTTCAGCAGTGGACTTGTGAAGGGTTGTAATGATGATGATGATGATGATGAAAAATGTTAATAATTCTATTCGTCAAAGAGTACCAGTAGCAGTCACCCAAGTACATCTTAAAGTCACTTCCATAAGTCCGGAGGTAAGGTTTATTCATAACTGGCAAAACGAGGCCAATCTCGGCACATCTAGGTCTCCTCGTCGAGGAGTTCCAGTAACAGTCATCAAACTACACTTTTAAGTCACTATATCAAGTTCGGAGGTAAGGTCTCATCATAACTAACAAAACGAGACTAAACTCGGCACATCTAGTTCTTCTCGTCGAGAAGTTCCGGTGGTAGTCATGAAAGTGCACTTTTAAGTCACTCTATCAAGTCCGGAGGTAAGGTATTATCATAACTAACAAAACGAGGCCAAACTCGGCACATCTAGTTCCCTCGTCGAGGAGTTCCAGTAGCAGTCATCAAAATACAATTTCAGGTTACTCTGACAAGTCTGGAGATAAGGTCTCATTATAACTAACAAGACGAGGCCAAACTCGGCACATCTGGTTCTCGTCGTCGAGGAGTTTCATTAGCAGATACCGAAGTACACGTTCAGGTCTCCATAAAGTCAAAGACGTATATATATTTATATATAAATTCTGCGTACTTTTAGCGAAACAAAATATTGTAATAAAAATCTGTGATTATATTATATTATTTTACCTTGGTCAAGTATGTATCAAATTTGGTTTTTGCAATAATTTATATTTCTACAGCGATCACTATTTTTCAGCATGGACCGCTGTAAACAAACGACCACTCAAGAAGGCGGCTGAGCACGGTGTAAAAAAGTACTTTATGGGTCGGAGTGAGGAAGTGTATTTAGTAAAATAAATTAATACAAGGCTGCTCAAAACACCGAAAATTGCGGCATTTCTCAGCCTAAAAGAATTAATTAGAACTAAACAAAATAAAATTAAGCTGCCATTTACATTCCATGGCTTCTTACATGATAGATGAAGATTTGAGTTTTACAACTGATATTTTCAAAAGTTATCGTGTTTACCCCACCATGCGGACTTGATAAATTCACACCATAAGCCACTAAAAGCTCTTTTTTATGTATAAACAGACATTAATCGATATGAAAAAAAATATAAGTTCAACAATCACTTATCTTTCTGACAATGTGTTTTTTATATAATTTATATGTACAATATGATTGTTAGAATACGATTTCATACGACAAAACGTTGGAATCTTAATTTTAGGCGCTAGTAGAACATACCTACGCGCTTCGAGCTTAAGGCACACAGAATGAGTTTCAATAAGTATTATGTAATAAATCTATATTGAATAAAAAATATTCTTTTCTATTACATTGGGTTTTTCTGTCAAAAAATTCTCAGTGACAGCCAGGAGTCAAGAAGTTCACTTCATTTCATTTCAGTTGGCGGTGATTCACTCCCGTACCTAGGAAAACTAATTCTAATAACTAACTCTGCGCCTGATCTCTCTTTGGTTGTATCGGATTACCCTCTACTCGGACTATGAGAGTGAGGGAATAGAGAGAGTGCACCTGTGCTTGCGCATACACTTGGACACTATTATCCTGTTCTGCGCAGGTGGCTAGTCTCCGTTGACACATTGTGTTAGCACCACCTTGTGAAGCAGTTATATGGAATTTATTTTCTACCGACTTCAAAATTGAGGAGCCAATAGTTTGTGACTAATAGTTTTTGAGTTATTCTTAATAATTTTTATTGAAGTCAGTTGTACAAAATTTTTAATTTTCAATTGTATTCTTTTTAGTTATTTGCGATTGATTTTCACTTTGCATAAAAAGTATTTTTTTAATATGTACGGTCTATTATCTTACAACTTATGCCACACATAAGTCCACGTTAGACGATTCAAGTCCACAGATCTTGCCACTACTGAAAGAGCATGTATCGAATTACTAGTGGCATCTCCCTTTGCAAATCTATACTTCTCGTAACAGGAAGCTTAATGCATTTACAAAGCTTTCAACAGTCAAGTCATGTATTGATATTAATGGCATCGAATCGAACAAGCGATAAGTGCGTACAAACTATCGTCAAAATTGCAATATCTTGGGATTGAATGAAAGATGTCTTTCTCGTAACGGCTTTAATGGCGGACTGAGCGGTGACGTTACAATAATTAACAAATACCTTACACCTCCAGCCTTAAATATCTACATAATTATATAGCAATGAACTTAATAACTAGTTTTAAACTTATAATTTAACTAAGTATACCATTAATCTAACATTGGAATTTAATTACGGGTTTTCGGATTCGCCTGGAACGGGTCACTGGCCGCGACGGTGGCGATGGTTGTGGAGGAGTGGCGGGGCCTGGTACAGTCTCGCTGGGACATTGCGTATCTGCCACGTGCTCGGTATCCACGTCATCTTGTCCAGCCGAAACCGCCACCTTCGTTTGCAACTCTGAAGACGCATCTGCAAACTCATCCTCATCCTTTTCATCGACCTCATTAGTGATATCTGGACAGGTAACATCGGATAAGCGCGACCTACGTCTTATTTGATCAATATGTCTTTTAATAAGTCGACCGTCACCATTGTCGAGAACGTATCTTCCAGAACCTTCTTTCTGGGCTACCGTGCCCTTGACCCATTTATCCCGGGTGCCGTAGTCCCTACTCCAGACGGTGTCTCCCAAAGAGAAATTACGCGGAACACCACCCGCATATTCGACTTGACGCTGCTGAGCATCGAGCACACGCGCTTGCACCACGTACCCACCGCGAAGTAAATCCAACCGTGAACGCAAGGAACGTCGCTGCAGCAGCATCGCTGGGCTCTCACCCGTGGTGCTTTGCTTACTGTTGCGATAGCTTAGTAAAAAGGTTTGTAGGGCGGTATCAATATCTACGTCATCCCTATAAGCCTTTTTAATTGCCCTCTTACACAGCTTAACAGCATTTTCCGCTGCCCCATTAGATGCAGGGTGGTACGCCGGTGAAAACCTTTGCTGAATGCCATTATTTTTCAAAAAACTTTTAAATTCAATACTTGTGAAAGGCGGTCCCTGGTCAGACACTAGTTCTAAGGGCAAACCGAATCTTGCAAATATTGACCTCAGCACCTTAACAATGGAAGTCGCATTCGTTCGCGCTACTTCAATAATTTCAAGCCATTTCGAGCTCGAATCTATTAAAACTAAATAAGTTTTACCTTTATACGGTCCTAGGAAGTCTATGTGAACTCTAGACCAGGGAGGCAAGTAGGGCCAGGGGTTAGGAGGCGCGCGCGGCGGGGCGTCCGCCTCAGAGGCGCAGGTCTCGCAGCTTCGGCATAGCGCTTCCACATCCGCATCGATGTTCGACCACCACACATAACTCCGTGCCAGCCCCTTAATTTTTACAATACCCATGTGGCTGCTGTGTAGTTGTTTTAAAATAATTGGACGTAAATATGAAGGTATTACCATTCTATACCCCCACATAATCGATCCGTTATCTAAATATAGTTCATTGCGCCTAACAAAATAAGGTTTAACCTCTTCACCAGGGCAAACTGTCGGCCAACCCGATTTGATATAGGCGAAAATTCTACTAAGAATAATATCCTTTGAAGTCGCCTTCGTAACATCCTCATTAGTAACCGGTAAAAAATTTTCAACGAAGTTAATATAAGTAATTTCTCTATTTATCGTTTTTTTATTATTAGAAGAAATTGGTAATCTTGATAAACCGTCGGCGCAATTTTTATTAGACGTTACGTATTCGATATTGTAGTCGTAACCAGATAAAAGTACGGCCCAACGTTGGATACGTGAAGCGGCCATAACCGGTATTCCCGTTTTTTTACCGAATATGTGTGTTAACGGTTTATGGTCCGTACGCAATATGAATTTTCGCCCATAAAGATACTGATGATATTTTCTTACACCGAACACAATAGCGAGCGCCTCCCGATCGATCTGCGAGTAGGCTCGCTCTGCAGCCGTGAGCGAGCGCGACGCATACGCCACCGGCCGCTCGCCCTCTGGCGTCAGGTGCGAGATCACTGCACCTACACCCACGCTACTCGCATCACACGTCAGCACAATAGGCAAATCGCTAGAGTAATGCATTAGAATTTTACTAGAACTCAATAGTTCTTTTACCTTTTTAAAGGCTCTTTGACAATCGTCACACCAATCAAATTTTATTCCCGTACGCAATAAATTATATAAGGGTGCGAGAATAGTGCTGATATTTTTTACGAATTTTGCATAATACATTATCATTCCTATATAGGCCCTTAACTCAGACACGTTCGTAGGAACGGGGGTGTCTACCTATTGCCTTAATCTTATCCGGACAAGTGTGAATACCATCCTTACTAATTACATAACCTAAGTAATTGACTGATTCAGCAAAAAATACACACTTTTCCTTTTTAACTCGAAGTCCGTACGACTGCAAACGGTCAAATACTTTATGTAAATTACTAATATGCTCCTCTGTGTTGCGCCCTGTAATAATTATATCGTCCAAAAATACGCCAACATACGGTAGATTAAATAATTGCTCTAAATGTTTTTGAAAAATGCCAGGGCTTGATGATAAGCCGTATACTAAGCGGTTATACCTAAACAAACCTTTATGTGTGTTGATCACCGTATATTTGGCAGATTCGTCCAGTACAAATTGTGCGTAAGCTTGTGAAAGGTCAATTTTACTGAACCTCTGCCCCCCTTGTAAACGTACCAGTAAGTCTTCTACTCTAGGCAAAGGATAACGGTCGACTTCTATAACTTTATTTAAAGTTAACTTATAATCGGCGCAAATCCTAATGTTACCGTCTTTTTTCACTACGGGCACAATGGGAGTCGCCCAGTCGGAGCGGTCGACGGGTGTGAGAATACCGTCCGCCACCAGCTGCTCGAGTGCGCGCTCCACGGGTGCACGCAACGCATAAGCCAGCGGACGCGCTCGCATGAACACGGGCTGCGCTCCCTCCCGCACACGGATGCTCACCGGCGGCCCAGTGAACCGTCCCAGGCCGTCCGCGAACACCTTACAATATCTGGAACTGAAATCGTTTAAGTTAAAAACATCATTCGATAAACAGTTTAAGCTTCCAAATGGGGGTAACTGTATATTGAGTTCTGCCAACCATTGTCTGCCTAACAATATACTTTTACCATTTTTAATAACATATAAATCGAGATGCTTTTCTTTATCTTTGTACTTTACTAAAGGCCTTATCACACCTACAGGTTTCACTTGTTCACCCGTATAGTACCTTAGCAACAAAGGACACATATTCAGTTTTAGGTTACTGAATTGTTGTTTATATAACTCGTAGCTAATACATGAAACGGCACTGCCTGTATCACATTCCATTTGAACATCCCTACCGTGTACTGTTAATGATATAAACAATGGTTTGTAATGACTAACGCTTAATTGATTAATGCAAACCATTACCTCGTCACTTCCTTCACTGTTTAATAAACTGTCAGTCTCACTCTGCACCACGTTGAGGCTGTGTTGTCCTGCTAGATAAGGACACATCCTTTGTAAATGCCCTTGTTTATTGCACACTCGACACACGTAGCGAGCAAACTTGCAGGTCACTACATCGTGTGCATTACCGCACGCACGACACTCGCGCTGGTGTCGTCGTCGATCATCCAGCACCGATGTTGGTACCCTCGGCCCGGTGGGCGTTGCTGCTGCTATCCTGGATGCTCTGCCACGCATCCTGACCTCGCCCTTACTGCCCGCGCGCCGCTCGCCGTCACAACCGATCGCGCGCCCGGTCCGTCTTGTACTGATCATCGCGTAGCAGTTTGTGGATGCGCTCGAGTCTCCAGATATTTTCGGATGCACATCGACGCTGGCTGCATCCTTCTCCGCCGCCTCCATACTCACGGCTAATTGATAAGCCTTGCCAAAGTCTAGTTTGCTTTCGGCAAATAATCTCTGCCGAATTGTTTCACTACTGATACCGCATACGAACTGATCGCGCAAACTTTCTTGCAACCAGCTATCAAACTCGCAAGTTTTCGACATTTTCTTTAGGTCCGTTACATATTCTGATATACTTTCACCGTCCCTTTGTTTTCTTTGTCGGAATTTAAATCTTTCCGCCAGCTCGCTGGGTTTTGGTTGAAGGTAATTTTCCAAAATTTTTGTTAGTTCTAAAAACGTTTTTGATGTGGGTTTTTCCGGGGTACACAAACTCACGAGTAGTTCATAACTCTCCGCCCCCATAACCGTGATTAATGTAGGTACATGTAGCTCACTTGATATTTTGTTCACAACAAAGAATTGTTCGAGCCTTTCCACATATAGTTTCCAATTGTCTGTGGCCACTTTAAATTCCGATATTTTACCAATCGACATGGTTTAGGCCGGTTAGCTTATACACACGCGAACTTTTACGATATATATTTATTTTTCTTTTTTTTTTTTTTCTCTCGTCGCCAATGCAATATCTTGGGATTGAATGAAAGATGTCTTTCTCGTAACGGCTTTAATGGCGGACTGAGCGGTGACGTTACAATAATTAACAAATACCTTACAAAAATCAAAGCTTTTTATTCAATTGACATAAACATAAACACTCACACCTGTCACGCAGAGGGGTAGGCAGAGCGTATTCTTCGTCAACTTCAATTTGGAACGATCCTCACACATCTCTCCTTCACGTCCATATACCTACGCATACATGCTCGTCGGTTAAGAGTACTCTTAATTTGGTTCACTTTCAATATTTCACCGATTTGGATGATAAATTTCTTACTCTTCGTCTTTGCCTACTTTGCCACTCATTTATGCTCTGTCACTCTTCCTTACTCATTCTTTCTACATATCCAAACTTAAGTGTTGAGTATCAAGCTCTACTTGTGCTAGTGGAATTATTCACTTAAAGAAGTACTTCAATATGTAGACCGTGTACAGGTAATTTATTGGTTGATATATAACAGGTAGCCGTAAGTGCGTTCGCGATCGGGTGGTTCCGAGCAATACGTGCGTTGTAGTGCTGCGTTGTATCCATGATGGTGGTGGGGAGAATAATGGAGTGTGACGTCAGGAACGCTAAGAAATATTCCTTTCTTAACCCTGGTCTTAACATCTTCCAGCAAGGATGAGGCAGGTGTGGCAAAGTAGCCCCAGGATTATAACCGGTTTCGAGGCTCGCCAACCGTTATGTTCTGTATTTCGGAGGGTTGAGAAGTGGATTGGGGAAGCCCGTCTTAATCAATTGAGGCTTGTTTAAAGATCTTATGAACTTCAAAGCTAGATTATTAAAGTATAACTATAGTTTGTTAGTAAGGGCAAATATTAATCAAAAGTTTAAGTTACAGCCTATATACGTCCCACTGCTAAGCTCAGGCCTCCTCTAATTTCTTAGAGGCTTTTAAGGCCAGGAAATGTCCACCGCACTGCCCCTATGCGTATTGGCGAACTTCACATATCTTCGAGTTATTTCTTTTATTTCTCAGACATGCAGGTTTCTTCACGATATTTTCCTTCACCGACCCTGAGCACGTGGTAACTCAGCACTTTAAATTACCATTAACAATTTCATTTATTTTAGATTGGAGTTGGATTATATTTTAGTGGACTTACACCGAGTTTAATAAATTCATTGCACTGTGGATTTAAAAAAAATCCGTTTGATGATTTCCTACGTTATTTATCTAAACAACTACTCGTATACTCAAAGACTAGTTTAATTGGAAATTCAACGCCATAGGTAAAGAAAGGTCTTCACAAATCTCAAAAATACTTTTTTGAAATGTTCTCTCTTTCTGTAGCCATCTTTGAAGTTGGCTGCATGTGTATCCTGCCAACACCTTTTTACAACAAAACTATAAGTATTTAAGGATACGGTGATAAGACGTCTTTTTATGTAAAATTTGATATTTATTTTAAGTGTTTTACCATATCGCACATACTTTTAGTTAAACAAGTGGTAAAATTAAAAATTTTGTTCGCAACCGACTTCAATATAAATTATTAAGGATAATTCAAAAACTACAGGTCAGAACTTGATCAATTCCATCTCACCCTAAAAATTCCATCTCATAACACTTCCTTCTATTCTAAATCCTTTTCTGTTGAAGCTGTTAGGCTCTGGAACTCCCTACCGCTGCACATTAGAAGTGCGCAGTCTATTGATAAGTTTAAAAAACTTGTCAAAGCGCACTTCTTTCCTCCTTAAATAGTCATTCCTCTAAAAATTACTACCTACTCATTTTTCCTTACGTTTAGGCTTTGACTTCACTTGTTTAATCTTTTCTGCTCTCGTATATGTATGTATATATTTTTGTATTTAAAATGTATTTATTTATATTATAGATGTATGTATTTATGGATTATATTATATATGTCGTGTGTATTTTCTATCAACCTACGTACACCCTTACCCTTTCTCACAGGTCATTTTATCCTCTGCAATGTGGTTGCCTGGTAGAGATCGCTCCCAAGCGATAAGGCCGCCAATTGTACCTTTAAATAAAATATGTTCTTTTTTCTTCTCATATGTATTTTTTGGTGTACAATAAAGTGTATTTCATTCATTCATTCATTCATTTAATTCAAATTCAAAAAATTTATATGGGACCAAATGAGAAGCACAAAATTACAAATAAAAAAGAATCATCAAAATCGGTTCACCTAGAAAAAAGTTAAGACGTAACACACATAAAAAAAATACAGTCGTAATGAGTCCCCTCCTTTTTGAAGTCTGTTGAAAAAAATGAGTTTGAAGTGGGCTTTCGGTAGATGAACCAAATACTATACTATTATTATAGATGTACAGGTTTTATTATTCAAGTCCCACGCGGTCGTAGTCGTGAGTAAAAGCTAGTATATTAATCAGTTGAAACGGGATATCTTTAGAAGTCAAAGGCGACTGTAAAATAGATGTTGATTTAGCTGTTAAAGATACTCGTACTTTAAACTTAATAGCCGCAAATAAAACACTGTGGGATGTGATCATAAACTAAGTTTGATCCAGTTAGTAATTGTTCTTTAACAGATTTGAATTCATTGTTAAAGTTACCAGCAGTTTAGGAATCTTGCTATTGTAATCAAATCGGTTAAAAGTAATAAAGAAACTTTCTTTGGATTTAACAATTTCGTTCAACTTTAAATTGCCTTCTGAGAAGGTTTTAGGGCTAAGGCAAAGAGTTTTTTCATCTCAATGCGTTTTGGCACATTTTACTTTCCTTTGAATTTTCCCTCACGGTATTTTCCTTCACCACCGAACAAGAGGTAAATCAGCACTTAAAAATGAAATTAACATTTTCATTGTTGTCGGCGGGGAGAAACCCGGGTTGCTCGCGTACTAAGAAATTTACAGCAAGCGCCTAGCCTCTGAGCTACCACAACTCTCTGAAGTAAGAGGAGGCGTGTGTCCATCTTTTCTTTCTTTTTTTTTATCAGTCCATAAAATTTGTATTACATATTTATATTACATAAATAATGATTTTAATAATAAAATAAGTGTAATGTGAATCTCAAATAATTGTGTCTGCTTAAGAACCCTGAGTTACTACGTCACCGGCTGTCTGTAGACGTCAAAATATCTTCAAGCAAGAAGTTTTTAAACAAATTATTAGAAAAAGTAATTTTATAATACTCGACACTGGCTAAAGTACAACTGTGCGAATCCATTACTACAGAAAAAAATGTTGCTAGTTATAACATGTTATTTAATTTAATTAATTAATTGTCAATAACGTCAGCTTAATTCGGGATCCGATTTAGTTATTAGAAACTCGTATGTAGTGACAGTATTAATTCGATCTAAGACGCTTGTCGCTTGCACGCTGCTTTCTTAATATCAATTGATCCTGATAAGCCTATTATAATAGATATTGGTGAAACAATTACAATAGCTTACAGCCACAATAGTATAATGGACAAGAATGTGGACTGCAAACTCGGAAATATGTAGGATTAAACCCGCCATTCGACTACTGTTGTGAACTGCTTCTAACACTAGTCTTTTAAGTTTTGTTGGAATGGGTTACGCGAGTATGAGTAGCGTAATAGTAGCATTTTACTTATAATTTATGCGTTAAGATAATTACAAAAAAGTTTTTACTGTCATTCATATTTCATAACATATTATATTGGTTTTAATAATATAGGTTTTTTTTTATAGAATAAGAGCGACAAACAACACAGTCCACCTGATGGTAAGTAGATGCTGTGGCCCATAGACATCTACATTTATCCTTGATTAAGAATCATAATGCAGATGCATTGCTACCCTTGAAGACTAAGATAGAATCCCGCATTTCCAGTAAAAAGGAACTCCGGTTCTCTACATACGAAACACAGCAGCATTGAGCTGCTATTTTATGCTGGTATTCTGTAAGAGCGTGATCCTTCCCGGTCAGGCCGATCCATTCGTGTTACAACCATAATATAGCTGCAGTATGGTCCTACCACGTTACAAGGTGGCTTAGAATTGCACTTTGTTGCAATCTTTAGGAGGCCTATGCTGATGGGCTGCTGTGTTAGTGGTGGAAGTAGTGGTAACAGTAGTATTAACTGCCTAGTAGTAGAATTGACTGCCTCGTTGGTCCAGTTATCGTAAATTGATCGTCCACTGTTGAGCATAGACCTCCCCCATTGATTGTCTCTTAGAGGGGATAAATGCTAATAATTAGCAGATTGGCAAAAACAGTTTTTATCTCTTTAGCTTTTTTAGGAACATTTTGCTGTCCATCTTCTGTTTCAGTTTCGTTCTGTCGCCTGTCGACACCCACGGATTAGTATGAGGCCGTGGACTCTTTTACGCCGCCATTACTCTGTGTTATTTAATAGAATCAGGCGTAACTTTGCGGAAATCGTTTATATAAAAGCTTTTAAAAATTTACTTCGCATACATCCGCGCTATAAAATAAAATAATGTGTCTTACCTAGTATGAAGAGCACCTCCCGCCCTCCCTCAATTGCGTGCACTATCCCCGTCACCACTAATCCCAGCACCGCTACTTCCATCACCACTACACTAGGCAAGACACACCACTGACGACAATACGACACGTGTTTCGCCTAGAGCTCGGAGCTGAAGCCGCGCTAGAATTCCTACAAAGTAATTGTTCATGGTCTGGATTTTTGTCCCTGTTCAATTCATGTATGTAAACTGCCACGATACAAGAGATAATCCTAGAGTCAGGATAATGTTTTAATAAAAAAGAAGGCGTAAGAAATAAAAATAACGCAACGAGTTACATACCGACTGTCTCTTTTGATCACAACTTCTAACATATACATCGAAATTTTCCAATCGAACAGAA